AGAAGGAGAAGGAGAAGGAGAAGGAGAAGGAGAAGGAGAAGGAGAAGGAGAAGGAGAAGGAGAAGGAGAAGGAGAAGGAGAAGGAGATTGTTGTTAAAGCATTCAATCATTTCTGCCTCTTCATGATACAATGGATATAATTTCCCTAGAATGGTCTGTCAGTAGCTGCTTCTTCAAAATCCCCACGAAATCTCATTTTCTGGAAGACTTGGTGGAGGACCCATTTGTTCCCAGGGCATGTTAGCTAGACTGCATAATTTAAAACAACAACAACAAAAATAAAAACATTCAGGAAGAAGACAGTGGCAAAGCACTTCCATAATGGTTCCAAGAAATTTGAATAAATGCAACTGCAATGACTTGAACTTTACTCAACAGTATTTTGAGGATTAATTATGGAAGCCCTAAGAGACCTGTAACCTTTCTGTTTTTGTGTTTATTTCTGTACCTTGAACGTGCGTCAACTTGGCCACCACAAGGAAGCTTAAGAGCAAAGTGTTGCTTATGCTTACTGTCCCAGCAAAAAAGAGTTCAAGCACAGAATGCACAAGGTTTTCAGGAATGTAGATAATCTCAGATGAGTTCTGCTGCTGAGGAAAAAACAGAGGGAAAAGGAAAGAATAAAGAATTTTACTTGGAATTCAAGTACCGTAGTTCATGAAGTTCTTTGTAATGATTCTTCCAGTTAAAGGAAACTTAATTCAGTCAGAATGCCTTTAGGGTATATAGAAAAGATCTGGACACTTCCTGTGAGCACCGTGGCAAGCTGATGTCTTACTGGTTTGCTGATTAGTAAGACAGCTTTTGTGACGGAAATCGCGGCTGGATGCTGGATCCAGGCTGGCGTAATCTCTCTGGATCAAAGGAGAGATTGTTGAAATCATCCATGTGACTCCAGAGAGCTGCTACTCATGAGTAGACCGTGGAAATTATCGTTTTATGGTCACCTTAGGAGTGAAGTGGCTGGGATTCGGGGTTACATCAAGCTGACACTCACAAAGCAGTCTTATGGACACAAAGCTCAGCCAAGCTTTATATCTTAATCACTTTTTTGAATTTTTTCATGTGTTATATTTTGGAGAGGTTAAGATCCTTTGGACTCGCAAGGTGGTACTGTATTTATCAGGTGAGTCTCCACCTCCTTAAAAAACGATGGTCTAAATTTGATCTTAAACGTTCTGAAAATATATGATTTTGGAGTGGGGAGGACTATGAAGCAAAAGGGTGCTTAGTATATGGATTTTGGAAAGTTAATAATGGATTAAGGGTCAGAGAAATTTGGAATTATAGTTTTGAATTTATTAGGAGATATCTTCTTATGGGAAAATGACGACTGCTTTTGTTTCTTTATGATAAAGAGACCTTGAAGGTTGGACATTACAGGGAGCCAGAGGACAAAGAAAATGGAGCAGAAATTCTCAGTGCAACCATTTAAATGCCTCTCAGCCAAGTTACTGGATAGAATGGATCAACTGCTTGAGAAACTGGGCAGAACATGTTTTAATGAAGTTGTAAAACAAGAACAAGTTGTAATGATGTTTAATTTGAAGGAGGACTTAAATGTAATGCAAAGGGATTTGATGGATGATTTATTCTGTAAAGGAGATGAACAGATACCAAACCAGGAAACAGATTTGGATAATTTTTTTTCTTCTGGATATACAAAAGAGCTCTGCTAAGGTTTCAGAAGACTTTTTTAGAAGCAGCAAGCAAAAGGATAAACTTTATCTTATGGACACGTGAAAGAAATCTGTTAAAGTCCTGAAGAATTTTTGTTTGGATACACAGATGACCAGCAAATTACCTCTGGGACTTTTTTTTAATTTTTTTTTTTTTGAGGGGGTTAAAGAATAATTTTAAAAATTCAGGGAACGTTTATAAGCTTGGCTTGTTTGATCAGGGCTAAAAGAGGAAAATAGTTATATCTGGCTGCCTGTACTGGACTTTTGCTGACAAAGAATGGTTGATGAAGCATTTGGATTTTGTTTGTTTGTTACTTAAGATATGAGTTATGGGGAGAAGAGAAATTAGGTTTTACTCAGAGATGGTGATAAGCTATTAAAATTATTTTTACCTGCTGGGGTGAAGGGGTTAGTTACTTTTTCTTTTTTTTTATTTTCTTCTTCCCTCTTTTTTCTTTTCTACACTCCCCCCTCCCCTTTTCTTTTATTTGTGTGTGTTTTTCTGTTTGTATTTTTTGTAATTTGTATTGACTTTTATTCTTTTCATTTATAATTCTTAATAAGATTATTTTTTTAAAAAGAGAATATATAGAAAAGATCCTATTTTCTAAGGTGTCTCTGGGTTTAGTATTTGATGCAGAGGAAGAAGCAGCTAGTCCATACAGTATCATGAGGTGGTCCTCCAACCAAATATTTACTACAAGGAATGGCCAGACTAAGAGAATGGATATTCTGATTTTTACTTGGGTTGTTATTTAGAGCTGGGCTAAAGCAGTTCCTAAGGTATATGCTTAGAAAACAGAATTAAATCTGATCATAGAAGCTTGGATGTTTTATCTGAGGGACTAATGATAACAGAAATTGCTTGTATAAGATCATTCCAGGAAATTGCCCTTGGATCCTGTGCATACGATCTATTGTGAGTCTAAAGAAATGTCCTGTAAAGAGTGAATTAGAATGGAAAACAAAATTCTATACACACTCATTTTTTAAAAAATAAGATCTTACATACTGTAAATATAGCAGCCTTATTTTAAGAAAGTGTGCTCCTTTTACTTTGATTTGTGAATAAAGAATACCAAATGGAGATTTCTCATGCTCAGCCTATCTGGAGAATAGTATATCTATTTTTAGCTACAGCAACTATAGCCAGAAGAAAAATATATACCAAGAACTGGCCACGTGAGAGTTGTCCAAGAGCAAAGATAGAATGTGAAGAGTAAATAGTTTTATATTAGTTCATATTAGATGAACTAGTTTCATCTTAGATGCATATCAGGGAATACTCATTATATTTATGCAGAAATAATATATATGCATACCTTCTCTGACTTGATAAGAAAACAGTCAATATAGTCACGGGGATTCTGAGGATCCAATGTCTTCCGGTGGAAATCCACTTTCTCATGGATAAAGTCGCAGAGTTTTTTAGTATCAGCAAAAATCTTGGTGTGTTGCCCAGGAAAGTGTTCCATTATTTTCGGAAAAGTATTATACAGCTGTAGCAAAGTTCATGTTAAATATTATACCTTTTTATGGTGGAGTCTTAATGCTCCAAATATTCAGAAGTTAACTTTTACAGTCATATTGCTAGTTGTCAAGCCTCAAATAAGTGCCAAGGCCAAGAAGGCAAGAACTGGATTTCACAAAAGTATCTGTAACGGTAGTCTCAAATAAACAGAGAATCTGGGAAACTGTAATAGGAATTTATATTTATAGTGAGTTAATTAAAGCAAAGTCTCATTGAAAAACTTTTCCCCAGATGTCTCCTTACTTGGGCTGAGTTGTCAATCGATTCACCCACTGTTTTCCCACCCTACCCATAATCTCTCATATTAATGGATAATAGTGTAACTGCTCATAGTCTTTGAAATGGGGAAGATAGAGTGTGGTTATTAGTGCAAGCGTAACAGAGCTGCTTGGAAACAAGTTGAAGAGAGAGACACATGTCAATAATTCAACATGATAATTGCTATTGCCAATATTATTTATCATATGTGTGGCAATGAGCTTCTTACAAAGAATCTATAATATAGCTTTTGGGTTTGTATGGAATACTGCTATTGTTTTCATATCACAAAGCTCATAGCATGGAGAGAATAGCAGTGATACATTAACATTAAAAGGCATTAGCCCCTCCAGTGAAATTCCATGTTTGGATCTCCCTGGCAAGTCAAGAAGTGGGTACTAGAAACAAGCAGGTCAAGGCCCAAAGGAGTTATTGCTCTGATGACCAGAAAAATGGACCTTGTAAGCCCAGCCAGGAGAGGTGAACTGGGAATCAGCTGGTGTTTGGATGGCTCCGCCTCACTCTATGTCTAGATTTGGTTTCTCGAGCTTGGTAGCTCATCACCTCTAGTGTTCACATTTCTGGCTTGAACATGTGCACCCCTGCTAGTAAAAATGAAGCTTCAAGACAGGAGGAGCAACGAAGATGAGTTAACATACCATTCCTAAGAAACTACTAAAGAAACCGAATTGAGATTCCATAATCTTTTGATTTTCCATGAAGGTTTGATCTTTGTAATCAAACCGATGGCCAAAGACGACTGCACAGATCACATTAGAAACAGCACTTGTAAATCTTCTTCTTGGGTCAAAAGGTTGCCCTGCAAGAAAGGCCACAAAACTCTGTGAGTGAGAGCAGAGAATGCAGATCTTTCCTTCTGCAAATCTCATTACAAACCTAGAACAAAAAGGTTTCAGGTCACCCAAGTCTGCATGATTATTCTCCATCTGTTGCAAGAACTGAATATGAATACAATTTAAAATCCTATAACCTCTGTAAGCAAAATCCTCAGTAATGCGTCCATGATCTTTCTAGAATGAGGAGGTCCAGATGGTTAATTACTCTGGAATCCATTAAATATATGTTCAAATATATATTAAATATATGAAAACCTAGACTATGTTTCCACCAGTTTGTTCACAAACTTATTGCTGGCTTCTGCTGTCTAGAATTATTTTCTCATTGCCTGGGGCTCCTCCAGCTGCCTCCTTCTGGTCATGGCTGTTTTGTTTTTTGTTTTGTTTTCCTTTCCTTTGACCAACCCAATTCTTCTTTACCTCTCTGAATTTTCTGCTCCTCTTTCCAGTTTTAATTGAGCTTCCATTCCTTCCATTCCTCTCTCCTTCTTATCTATCCAACGCTTTTTTATAAAAACAAAAACCACACTTTTTTTATATTTCTTTTCCTATCTCCTTCCAGAACAGACTTGTGTATCAAAGATGGTTTTCGAAGGTGCCACAACCCTCTGAATGGATTCTGTTTGTGGCCTTTTTATTCAAATCCATGTTGCCTTCCAGATCTGCATCCCTCATGCGGCCTGTTCTTACCCACATTTTCCTTACTTCCCTTAGTTTACCTACCTCATTTACCCACAAAGTGTTTTGCTGCCTGCTGAATTTGCCTGATGTGTAATTTAGCATTATATTCAAACCTGATTAAACATAACCATGGTTTAAAAATTATAATTGCCCCCTGAAACAACTTCCTGGTATTTCTGATCTCTCAGTTACTGCAGCCACACTAAAATTTCACTACTTCTGGGCATGTTTGTAATTTTATGAAGCCAAGGGCTGACAATGGATAGAAAAGAGGGGGAAGCAGCTAGAAAGCTGTTTGTATTTCCTAGGTGTATTTCTGTTTGTGCTTCTGAACACCACTGTGAAAAAAACATGAGGTGCGGGGGACACTTGTCACTATCTTTCTTTTTCTTTGTTTTGTGCACTTAAGTGCAGAAGGATTTGTGTTTCAGTTTAGAATCTAGTTCTCCTGTAACCTCATAGAACACAAAACCCCTTTCCACTTCTTTTTAAAAATGAAATTATTCTTCTGCAGGAGAACTACTTTCGGTTTCTTTGGAGGACCTTGTATGCTGCCCACTTCCTCCGCTAGACAAAGGGCTTCCTCCTGCACCCTCTCGGACATTCTTTTCTTCCCCATCCCAAAATCTCGCAAGGTGGTCAGTGTGAACCGTCGCATCTCCTTCCATCTGTTCTGATCGGAGGTATTCATACCTGAAACCAAAGACACAGGGAAGAGATCACAATGTCAGTCATTTTTCAGCTTTTGTGGAGGAGATATACAGTAAATGATGGTTTCAGGCACTTTCCTTCTTCAGATCTTTGCCTCATTGATAGCTGAAACAGGTCACTGCGTTGCAATAAATTATGGATCACAAGAGCTTCCCTCCCCACTTTGAAAGTAAACACAATTTGGGGCTTGAAATACTGATTGACCAAACCACACAGCCTCCATTTCATTCATTCATTCATTCATTCTGAATTTATATAGTCACCCATCTCAACAATTTATTCTGGGCAGCAGGCAATATTAAAAATAAAAATAAAACAATTACAATAACAGTTATACAACGTAAAACACATAGCAGCCAAGAAGAATACATTTTCTTAGTCATTAGCACACCCAGGAGATGGGACCCTTTGCACATCCAGGGACCCAGGCCCGGGCATCTTACCACCCCTGACTGCTCTCATATCAAGAGGAGAATGAATAAGGTTGTGGAAATCATGACACAAGTTTCTGTAACTAAGATGTAGACACAGAAATCTGTATACTGGACTTAGAGACAGCTCTGTACTGAGATGCAATTTTCAGTGAGTGGAAGAAAATTAGACTCACTTCAAAATGTGTTTTTGTGCAGTGTTTTTGTGCAGTAGAGACATTCATTGGCTAAGAGAAAATATTTCCTTTGGAAGGTACAGTATATGAAATTAATTTTGAACATTATTCCAGATGGCATCAACCAAAGGAGTCGTTTTGAAAAAGACTTCTGTGTCTATTTCCAAAGGACCAATGTAGAGATGAGATGTTTTATCCTTTGCATGCATGCATACATACATATACAGTGTGTGTGTGTGTGTGTAAATGAACCTTATCAGACTCCATAATGGACCAGTGCAGTGAAAGGAAAGATGGTATAGAAATGTTTTCTTCTCTCTCCCACAGTCATGACCAAATTAACATTTCTGCAAAATCATCTTTCTCTATGCCTTAATGGCAGAATTTAAAATGCATGTAGCAGCTTAAAGAAAAACAAGAACAAATCAGGAAATGCAAGAGAACCAACCATGATCACGGAATATTCGCTTGGTCATGGGTGTAATAATACGTCCACTGAATTCTTCCGCATGATCTACCAAAGCATCTTTTATCATCTCATATCCACAGAGCACAACCTGTGGTTTTGATCCAATCCAGATGGTAAAGATAGAACCATATTTTCCAATCAGCTAAGGGTAGAATTAAATGAAAACCTAGTTAATTAGGTGATTACAAGTTTTTTGCGACGTTATTCCAAAGCATGTTTGAAATACTTTTTAGATTATTACAGAGAAACCTTCAGAATGTTCAAGGAAAGCTCCAATAACTCTTAATATCCACAGGGTACACAAATATGATTAGGTACCAGTACATTGTACACGCCCCCTAGTTTGTGGGATATGGCTAATAATATGTTGACTTATGGTCATCTCTGGATTAAAGATCCTAGCTTGCATGGAATAGCATGCACTGCTCATGATAAAACTAAGCTTTGGTTGCATTTGTGACATACTAGCCAAAAGTACCAAAGCTCAACAATACCGTTCTTACCACTAACAAGGAATTTTACAAGTAGCACAACTATAAGACCGATAGTCTAATCTATTCTTTCTTCAGTTTGTTATACAGATTTATATGAAATCCACAATTGACCAACAGTTTGATGGGCACTGGAGGTCAATATTTATGGGCCCATATGGTGACCACCATGTGATAGGGAAGATTCAATATGGAATGTATGAAAAATAAAAACTCAACAGCATAAATTAATGAATGAGAGAAATGATAGAATAATATAGGCTGTGGGTTTGTGAGCAAGACCAAGACTGAGATGGATATAATCAATCAGAATAAAGGTGGTCTGATCTTGTTACTACTTATTATTTCTTGTAATGAACTTAATAGCCTCCATTGTTTTTATCAGGCTGCCACAAGGCAACTCTAAGCTAAAATTCCTGCTGAAAATATACATGAACACTGAGTTAAAAAAAAAAAAAAAACTTCAAACTACTAAAATTAAGGAAAGGAAGTAATCTAGATAGACGTCAAAGCAATCGTACCTTTTTATAGGATTTGCTCAGAGGTAGTACATCTCGCTGCAAAAGGTTCCCCAGAAAAGGCCACGGAGTAGGTCCTGGGGGCAACTGCCCTTTTTTCTTGTACATTTGGAAGGAAGAGAAAAGGGTAATAAGTATAGAGAGGAGAAGCAGAGCTCCTGCCCATGTCAGCTCCATCCTTCTCTGAGTTATTTTCCTCTTCAAAAATCCAAGAAACTGTTTAAATGAGACAAGATTGAAAGAAGGAGGCCCACTGGAGAACAAACCAAACCTAAGTTCCAGATTTCCTCTAACCTTTGCACATCTCCTTGTTTGCTTTCTGCTCCATTTGTCCTTTCCCCTCTATTAGTATAGGAAAGTTACTTATCAACATCCATAACCTCTGACTGTGGGCACAAATAAGTTAGTGTTTCTGTGTTTTTTGGGGGGGGGGGGGGTATGTAGTGCATGTAGGCTGGGTTCAAAACTGAGACATTTGCCTTTTATGTAACATTCAAGGTAAGGGCCCTTTCAGAAAAAAATTGGTGGCCACCTATAGCATAGGAAAACTTTAAACCACAAAAATCGTGCAGTGATCTTAATTGTGCCATTTAACATTAAAAGCTCATCCACTAGTCAATTTAAATCCCATTTTAAATCTGGGAGTGGAAATAACTAATCCCAGAGGGAATGGCAGTGGGAAATTCAAACATCTCTGATACAGTGAGTAGCAATAACAGAATTTAGATTCATAAGCTAGGTAATGTTGAATTGTAAATACCAATTGGGAAAAAAAACATGCCGCTGGGTCACATAGTTTTAATATTTCTAACCTATAAAACCTAATTCCATGAATAGGGCAGTGAGACTCACTTGTGAACCCCAAGGACTACCCCTGCAGTGCCCTTTGCAAGGTTACCGAGGTTCTCCTTGCAAGTGGAAGGGTAAGGACTTTCAATAAAATCTACTTCTTTTTCTTCTTATTTAAGTGCATCTGTGATCTTGGAGTTGTCCAAATTGGTGTTAAATGCAATGAAAATTCCTTTACACTACAGCTCATTCTAAACATTGTCTCTTCTTTGCTGAGTTCATGGCAGAAAACGAGAGAACAATTAATATGACATTCCATCCAAATTACAACTTTTGCCTATTTTCCTTTCCAGCTTGATAAACCCCCATGTTCAGTACTATGATTTGATTATGATTATGTGTCATCAAGTCATTGTTGACTCTTAGTGACCACACAGATAGATTTTCTCCATGATGATCTGTCCCTAACCTGGTCTTTCAGGTCTTCCAATGGTACACTCGTTCCTGTAACCAAGTACATCCATCTTGCTGCTCGTCATCCTCTTCTCTTTCCTTCCAACTTTTCCAGCATTAGAGCTTTCTCCAGAGAACTAGGTCAGTACTATGAACATGGTTGAGTAGAAACTGATTTGAATACTGATTTTTAAGAGGATTCTCATCCAGAATTCCTGGAGTCTCATCTGGACTACTATAATAGTCTCTCTCTCTCTCTCTCTCTCTCTCTCTCTCTATCTATCTATCTATCTATCTATCTATATATGGCTTTCCCTTGAAGACTACTCAAACACAACAGGTGGTCCAGAATGCAGCTGCATGAGTAATTATGAGTGAACACTCCTACTGTGCAAGCTGTATTGGTGACCACATGGTTTCTAGGTACAATTCAGCATGTCTGTTATCCTCTATAAAGCCCTTCATTGCTTGGGACTCCCTTTCCACAATTGTTTTTGCCTGTTCTATCCTGATATTTCTGTTTGATTTCTTTAGAACACCTTTATAACTCTCACTTACTGCCCACCCCACTCCAGGTTAGTAAGATGTTGGCATTTGGAAAAGCAAGGCATCTGTGTAAATCAAGCTATTGAAACCCTGACTTCTTGCCATGGGAAGCAGATAGGTTTACACTTTTCCCTGTCAGTGCCCCCTCATGCCATGCTGTTTTTTCAGGACTTTTAGAAGCCATTAAAGAAATTCAAGCACATCCATGCAGATAAACACATGAGGGGAATATCAGCATTTTTATTTTATTCTAGCTTTCTGAAAAGAAGAATGCCAGGATTGCTCTTAAGTCATGGTCACTGGAGTAGGTCTTCCAACTATTGGCCAGCTTTGGGGAAGTGAAGATGAGCACGGATTGAGTAACATTTAACACAAACTGTAAATTCACAGAAATGTAGACATGCCATTATATGGTTCTGGGAAAATCAACACATCTTTGAAATAGAAGACAGCAAAATAATAATTATTATAACAACAACAATAAAAATAATTCAGATTTCATTTTAACATGGAAAGAGAAAAACAAGTGACACCTTCCAATTCAAATGTCAAAGAAAAGTAGAAGCTTCCTTAAATTAAGGAGATTACAAGACAATGGTTATTGTTTCCAGAAGATCATCAAGAAACAAACTCTCTGGTGACAGCCTCTTCACTGCCAGGGGAAGGATAAAGATGAAAACCTGCTCAATAAATGAGAAAGCAGCAGCCCTCCAGGACTGCATGCTTTGGAAGAGGCCAAACTCACCTGTATCTCAGATAGCCACATTCACTGTTTGGGTATTGCCCAGGTTTTGGTGCTGGCTTTTGCACACATAAGCCAAGGACCCCAGTTCTTCTGGAGTTAACCAATTTGGCCATAGTAGCATAAACTTTAATTTCCTCCACAAGTCAACAATAGCACATTTAAGAGAGGACTGCTTTTACAAAATGCTTGGAAGCTTCAGATGGTCCACAATAATGGAAGAACTTTCTGGGAGTTTTTGAAGCATTCTCTTACCATATTACTGAAACTTGTGAGCAAAAGAAACTCAGCAGAAAATTTGCTGTTCAGTGCCACAAGAAACTCTAAATCAGTGAGCTCTCTTCATTAATTACTCTCATTCTTTCCACTATTATCTGAATGCTTCCAGAAAAAATGAGGTAGAAATCTGGATGAAGAGACATCAGCATTTCTATGCTGCTACATATTATATTTCTTTAGTAAATATCTTCTTTCCTTTTGGAGTGGAGGCTTGAGCATGAGTTTTTGATAACCTCAAGAGGGGCTTCTCTTCCTACGACCTTGATGTAGTATTCCAACATTTTGCACTCCAGTTCAGACTTTCAACAGGCTTGTAACTGGACAGGCTTTGGAAATGATCCAGTCCAGGTTTTGCAAGCAGCCACAATGGGGCAGATCAGAAGGTTCAGGAGGGGTCATGGCAGCAGCAGCAGCAAGAGCAACAGCAACAAAGATAGGGATTCTTTTGTTCTATGCCAATCTTTTATTAGGACTTATACCAACAGCACCCACACCAGCCATAGGGGTTACATAGACAAATGCCAGCTACCTTGCCCAGTTAAGTGAGGTGGATAGCTGATAAGCCAGGGACCACCCCCCAGTGAAAAGCTTCCTGGTGAGGGAAAAGGCAGGGGAAAATGTTGACAGAAAGCTTCTAATCAGAGAGAACTGCACCCAACTGATCATCTCACAAAGCAGTTGTGGAAAAGCCTCTTTGCAATACTTACTCCAGAGGACACCCTTTGGAAACTAACAGAACTTACTTCTGAGTAAATGTGTCTTGGATTGTGCCACTTGGAGACACAAGTCTTGCTCAAGGATACCCTTGAAATACACAAGAAAGGGTGTGCTAAAAGAACGGCTTGTGTCTAAAATGTTAATTGTGGAAGTGCACAGCTCTTTTTCTTCAGTTCCTCGGGAAGTCATTCAAAATACCATCCAAAATTCAATTACCCCAGTGCAATAAATTGTGCAGTAGGTAACTGGGAAAATTTCCAGCCCCTCATTCATCAAAGGATGAATGAGGGGCTGAGGTATTCCTCCTCAGTTTGACTCAAAATGAGCCAGTGGTTAATTCTCTTCATCTAACCAACTCCCCCACAACCTGCTAATAGCTCAACCGCTAGATCAAGGTTCCTCAACCTTAGCAACTTTAAGATGGGTGGACTTCAACTCCCAGAATTCCCTGGGCTGGGGAATTCTGGGAGTTGAAGTCTACCCATCTTAAAGTTGCTAAGGTTGAGGAACCCTGCGTTAGATGGTCAAGTTTCCTTGCTTACTAGTCTGCTTGTCTTTTGGTCAAAGGTTATCCCGTGGAGCTGGGGAGGGTTCCTTCTGCTGTGGGGAAAGCAAAGAGGCCTTGCTGCACTGCACTGATGTTCTGACAAGGGCAGGGGAAGAGCAGAGAACAGCTTTTAAGATGAACTAAACAGACTCACCTGTCATCCTGGCGTCAAAAGTGTAGCAGGACATCCGCATGTCCTCTGTTTCCTCTATCAGCATCATAAGTCACAAAATCTGCTATTCCCTATTCTGATAGAAATGGCATCTCTTTCCTATGGTTACATTATAGCCAGAGGAGACCCCATGGATAGAATCATTCTGTAGTGTGCTCTATCTTGAGATAGAGCCTGGCCTTTTAGGACTCTCAGTCGTCAATAATTGTTGTCATGATCATGGCACCTTCTTTTTCTCTTTCCTTTCATTTTCCCACAATATGGACTCCTCAAGGGAGCTGAATCTTCACATAATGTGTCCAAAATATGATAGTTTACTTTGGTCTTCTTTATATTTAATCTTAATGCCATTTTTTTTCACTGTACTCCTTGACTTTCATTACTGAAGCTGTCAGATCACTTGGATTTTCAGTTACGTGAGTAGTATCATTAGCATAACACTTGTTATTGATGTTTCTTCCTCCAGTTTTAAAGCCACACACATCTTCTTCCCATCCAGTCTCCCTCAATGCATTGTATGTTTCACCGTATGTATCTGAACTGTGGCTCCCTGTCCCGTGCCCATTTTCCTTAGCACATTCCGCAGCCTGACATGGTTGACAGAGTCAAATATCTTTCTATAATCAGTGAATCACATCCTGACTTCTTTTTCATATTCTTTGCCTTTCTCAATTACCCAGCATGGATGACTTTGTTCTTCTGCTTTAGCTTGACTTGGAACTTGCACATCAGCAATTCATGATTTGTTTCACTGTCAGCCCCTGGCCACATCTTTGTGGTTATAAATGAGCTCCTCCACATTCTTATACCAATAATATAGTCAGTTTGATTTCTGTTTGCTCTAGGAATATTTATGTATATAGGGGATATTTTGGCTCCTTGAAGAATGTGTTATCGATGACCAAATCATGAGCTCAGCAGAAACTGGTAAGTCATTCTCCCACTTTATTTCTGATACATTTTAGCTTTTTCACTCATAATTAAACCTTTTCTCTCATATTTAAATCTCCACCTGCACTTCCATGTATTTATTCTTCTACTCCACAAAA